TTCTACCTTCCATAGCTTGAGCTTGTCTGCGTCAATACCAGCGAAGTCATTCTGCTTTTCTGCCTTGATAATTTTTTGAGGTCACCAATAAGACTATTTCCATCTATGTGGATAGGAAAAGCGTTCGCAGTTGTATTTCCTTTGACGAGACAGTTATATTATGAGGAAAAAAATTTTTTATCGATCAATGGTATATGTGAAAAATCGAATATGTATGTTACACATATATCGTGATTTGATTGGCTCACAAGTTGATCGTTACCATCACTATTGCTAATTACGAAATTCTCGTCCCACCTATATCTACGAAATTTTTGTCTACCATCCGCACAGACTATTCTCCATAAGAGAACTACCCTGAAATTAAGTAATTTCGAGCCCCCAGTATAAATTCGGGGATTAGCAACTGAGGTAAAAAAAAATAATCAATGCAATACAGTATTTCTTACCTCTACGATTTATTTTCTCAACATCCACTCCGCCTTATATTTAAGAATTTTACGTTATAATAAAGGTATGTCGATCTTTTTATCTCCAGTACGATACATCAAGAATTCGGCACGTGAAGATGACATTGTCAGAAAATTTTTTGACATACTGCGTCAAACCTTGTTGATGCTGGAAATTAGCCGAAGGAAAGCCTCGTAATGTCGAAATCGGTTACCTTCAGAATATCATGCAACTTGAGAGCGCATACCATACAAATAAAAAGAAACGTACAGTGGATAAAGCATTCAAGGATGATGATTACAATTATCTCTATAGGATAGTTTCCACAGGTATATACGTGAATTTTGGAATAATTCGGATTTTCCCATACTAACTATCGCTTAATATTTTTTGGCTACGGAATGGCATTTTAGCGTTTTGCTACAGATGGTATTTATTGTACCAGCAAAAGCGAATATCCTATCAATCTTTCTAAATTGGCTCTCGAAGAGGACCTCGAATCAATTCGAAAAGGTGTAAAACGAGTGTTAGTCGTCATCGTTGGGTTGTTAAAGGATCGGATCAGTGTAGATAATTCCCCAGCCAGTAAGAAAGCTAGGATCAAAAAATTTACTAAAAAATAGTCCCGCTTTACATGTATTTTATATTGTATTAATAAAGCAATCAGACCTAAATGGTCTTTTTTTCTGATAATTAATTTTTGTGTGGTATTATCATATGATAATTTTTTATAAATTCACTTTTGAATATATCTGTATTTTATTTTAAAAATGGCAAATACACAATACAAAACCGATTCATTGAAAGAATTAAATTCAAGGCTCTTGTCTGAGATTGCCGAACTTAGGAAGAAGTTTGCTGAGATCAAGGGCAAGAATGCTGAACTTGAGGTTGAGAACGCGAAGCTGAGGCAGGTTATTGATGAGAATAGCAAACGTGATGTTAGAGTTGGGGAACTAGAGCAAAAGAATATAGAGCTTGAGACTAGGCTCGCTATATGAGAACAGGGAGAAAAAAGTATTTCTACGAATGCTTCGCACTTTCCAGTAATTCTAACGATGCTCATGAACAGATAATTTCACGTAATGAGGAGTCTAATACATCTAGCCACTCTGTGACTGCCTCCGGCAATTCTGATATATGTCAGGATTTGGTAATCCCCACATCTCCGGCAGAAACCATATCATTGGAAGAGAAGGAAGAAAATGTATTCCAAAATTCAAAGTATAGGGAAACGGTTAGAAAAGAGATTATTCACATTAAAGAAAGAAACTTCGGGATCAAGAATCACTTACAACACTTCCTGAAGAGGAAAGACCTAAAGACCTCAACTCGGATGCTCAGTCACGCAATAACACATCATTCGAAGCATCGGCTAATTCAGATGATAGTAAATTACCTCCAAAAGGCAAAATACGTATGTAGCGAAGCGAATTCAAAGTGTAGGAAAAGTGTAGGCAAGCTTAAGCAAGAATTTTTTACCCCTGAGTTGTTTTCACAAGAGTCATCAATAGAACAATATCATGCAACCAAAATTTCTGAGACATTATGTCCCAGAAAAGTTACTTCTGGTGACAATTCTAGCATTGATGAGACCTCACAACATCTAGATCAGTTATGTGATAAAGCTTTTGATGCTGAAGATAGAGCGAATCGAGCTAATCAGAAGGAAATTTTATGCTGGTCCCTCTATGCGAAGGATTTCAGAATTCAGCACAACGGGGTTATAGAAAATAGTGGAGGTAAAATTGGTGAAAAGAAAGCAAGAGGCTTACAGTATGATTCCATTACAGAACAGCTTAATTTACTTCGCAAACAAAGATTACAGCTTCGAACATATCACGAGATAGTTTGCACAAGAAAACTCAGAGAGCTGAGAAGTCTATAAATTTTTCGAAAAAGTGGGCCATGATAAAATCAAATATATCAAATCATATAGTACAACTTCTATTTCAGAACTTACTGGTGAACAAATTCAAGAGGTTATAGATTATGGGATATCTTCAGAAAAGTTACCTCTAGTAACAGATCATGTGGCCAAAATTTCCAAGACATTATGTCCAGGAAAAATTTTATCTCAAGTAAGTGAATCAACTCAATTTCTATCCCATACCGAAAAGGTTTTTATCGGAAACCGAAATAAACACATCATCTGCATCTCAGGATTTACCAAAAACAGAGGTAGGTGGATCCAATGATTCTTTAGATTCTAACTTGGAATCATCTGATGATGAGAAATCCTACGATGGAGACACTAATAATAATGGTGATATTGACGTGAATCAGCTTCCAGTTGAGAATTTCTTTGATGATGACTCACGAAGTGAGGATGCTAACGCAACTAGGGGTAATGACGAATTCTCCGATAACAACGAAGAGGAAGATGATGATGGAGGATATTGTGGTTTCTCTGATGATGATGAAGGATATTATTTATGATTTAAATACCGGTGAAACTTATACAAAATCGGATCGTTCAATCTGCACATATTAACGATTCTAATTTTCAGATAGATGATCACTTGCCTTTCTATTTCCATCCCATACAAAATTTCGGATGTAATGCTGATTCGAGTTAACTTTGCTCTATAGGTGTAATGAAGATACGATGAAAGTGCGATGAAGATGCAATGTAGACACGATATATTTTTTTCCTATATAATTCTATGAAAAAAAGGTGAGTCTCGGTCGAGACGCGTTAAAAATTTTATAACATCTCATGTTAGAAAGAATACGCAAGTATAAAATGCAGTGGTCATGTGATGGCAGAATTTCGAGATTGAGTCAATATAATGGCGCATTCTCGAAGTTTTATACATGTACAGTCGCCTCCGAAAGTAACGCCCGATTTAAAGTATTATAAATAAATAAAATCGGGCATTACTTTCGGAGGCAACTGTACACCTTGTACTAGCCCACTGATGCTTTATTAAATAATGTATTGGGCTAGATAAATTGATCGGCGTTCCGGGATGAAACATACTGTTCTCTGACTTCGGGTGAAAAGTTAACAATTGCACTTCCATAAACTGTTAACGTGAATATATTTTTTACTCTGACTATGCCTTTGGATGAAATGAAAAAGGAGGGCATATATTAATAAAGTTCGCCCGCACCAGGCTTTATTCTTTAACTCGCTGTTAATATACGTGTAAAAAATGTGTATATTGTTAGCAGGGAAAAATGTGTAGGTTGGTCCGGATCGCCGATAGTCACGTGATTTGACTCGATGCATCGGATCATAAATTAGAAGTTAAAATAGCTTAAAGGCTAATTTACATAACGCGACGATGGATTAGCAGACGTGTCACAACAAGTATAAATACAGATAGAGTTAGCTAATTAGGAGAGTAGTAGAAAAATATATTTTTATATCTATAATAAATCACCGGTCAAAAAATAATGGTTATATAATCAAATAGATATTAAAATTGTATTATAAAAAATAAATAATTATAACTAGTTTAATTTCAACCAATGGTCGAGCGTTAGCGAAGATCATTGGGAAATGTACAAATAAGCGAAGATATAGAATATGATGTGTAGTACGGCTAGTTTATTTTAGCAGCCTCCAATTTTAGAGATATACAGGTACATTGTGTAACTTATGTAATCCTAACTACAGTATATAACACATTGATCGTTTGTTTACATTATTTAGGCCATGAAATTTCTAACATTCTTTTGATATCACATTGATAGAATTTTTGATAGACAGTATAGTGTGACCAATTTTCTAGGGCCAAAATGGTAGCCATATTGGCACCTGCATCTTGTGCAAGAAAGGCTGAAATCAACCTAACATCTTTAGCTTTGGCTTTAGGATCAGATTGTGTCAGAATATCTTTGAGCCATTTTGAAATCATGTTGATTGTAGCCTGTCTATGAGGAATAGTAGTTGTTAGAAATAAGGATTCATGCTGATCGTAAGTGTTTCTTCATGATGCAGTTCTCTCAATAAGTTTCAGATTGGCTGATGCGGGACATAAATCTTGATCTTCATAGTAATCAATGAATATCTTCTTTGTCTTGTGTTTATTATCTCCATGTGCAATGGATATATTTACTTCTTTAGGATTATCAATTTCCAAGGAAATTCCAGACTATAATTTTTGAAGAGATGACATCCTAATACAATAGACATCACTAGGTCTGGAAGCAGTACAGAGTGCAATCAAAAAGGCAGTCTTGCGAGATAAATTCAAAAGGAACATATTATTATTGTTTCCCAAACTTGCAATATAGTCTATTGAGGGAATTATATCAATTATATTGTCCGATAATGTGGGAAGAGGATTTAATTTATGAATTGCTACCATAAATTTGGCAATATCTAAATGTCTACCAATTTGATAACCATCAATAGGGATATGAATCTCATTAATTGCTAAACGATAAGTCACGATAGTGTTATATACTTTTTGTTGTTCAAACATTTCATTTAAAAACTTAATAATCTTGACTATAGAACATTGAAGTGAATCCAACTTTTGTATATCATACCAAAGATTCCATTTTTTAATCGATGATCCCATGGTAACATTTGAGCATTTGTTTATTACATTCTGGATTGTTTCAATAACTTCCTTCAAAAATTTTTTTGCTTGAAGTCTTGTCCTGATATTAGACAAGTAAATAGTCTTTATTTTGGATTTCGTCAGGAATCTAGTAGATGTGTCAGATTCAGATTCAGATTTATCAGATAATGTGTTGATAAGAGCAGTAGGAAGTCGATCAATATATTTAGCAGAAGTGAAAACCAAGGTGCTGTCTTCCAATATGGAATTATTAGACATATTGTGACTTGATTCCTTATCATTTTTATTAGAATATAAAGTATAACATCAGGAAATTTTTTTGGTGAAGATCTTCGCAAATCTTCAGGCATAGACCTCCGGAGAAACTCCGTCGTCGTTAAAAGACTCCGGAGCAAAAAATTATATATTAATCTCCAGAGATCTTTGATTTATTTAATAGTAATAAATAGTTAATTTATATTTACATATATAATTAAA